AACAATTATCGTTACCATACGAATGTGGAAGAGCCCACAAAGAATCCCAGGGTGAGATCGTATCCGAAGAAATAAAATGCCAATTCGAAAGAATGGATGAAACAATACCGTTACCTTGATTCATGTATCTAATAAAATCGAGAATTAATACAAATGTTCGAGGAGTTGATAAACAAAACCGATTAAGAGCTGTATTCGCTTGCGATTCAATATTTTCACGTGATTGCACTCTGGCATTGATCATTATATTTCTTGAAAATTCATTGATAGCCTCAGCTATTGTTTCATTTACAAGTGCACAAAGAGAAGAAAGTAATTCAAAATGTGACGCAGCAAAGAGACGATAATCATTATATGCATAGTCAATACCTGCTGTAGATGAATAAAGTAATGACATCCAAGTAGAATTTGTGTTAACAAAATCACTTGAACATAGTTGATGGTAATACGGTTTAATGGAAATAAATGATTGATAATGAACAGTGATATTTGTGCAAGGACAATCAAGTGTTGACGAATACTGAGGATGTGATCGAAGTTGATTAAATACTTCCTGAGATGGATTATGAACTTTAATGATTTCAGTTTGTGTGTCAATGAAAGTATAAATAAGTACAATTATTACAGCAATAATAAGTAAAAGAAGATATAAGCGTGTCGTAAGGATTTCTCTTCGATGCCGTTGATCATCATCCCATGAGAGTTCAGTTTTGAAGAGATTAAGTTCTAATAATTTTGACTTCGTCGTATGCCAAAAGTTAGTTACTCGACGCTGGACTGGTGGATAGTCTAAAGCGGATAATCATTAGCATCTATGAGGGATGTGTTATTTTTTTTTCAAAGACATGTCCTCGAATTTTACTAACTCACAGGGAAACCTTTCTGGATGTACTCTTCAGATTTCAGCTGTTATTTATCGATACATACTAGAGATGAATGGCTCACTATTATTATCTCTACTATCTTACTTACTTATTAAGACTGTTCGCCCTGGATGTGAACGTGTTTGATTTCGTATCCAACGAACAACCAATTGAACAATTATTTTCATTACTACCGACAGGCCACCAAAGAGACCAATTATGACAGTAACTGTTTGAAAAGGATTATTGGCAGATGTATAAACATATGTACATTGTTCTGGTGCACATTGTTCGTAATATTTATCATAATCAATTTTTTCATTCCATGTTTCGATCATTAAACTATTCATAATGGTTTCTATATGATCATGAGGAGAAAATCGAGTATTGTTCAGATCGAGAATTGATATATTAATAGATTGTGCGGTTTGTATACTATTATGAATTCTATCGAAACATGTTTGGTTGAAAAAACAACTCAGCGAAGATTGAAGAACACTCGATACTACGACACAACCAATGAGAATATCGGGTAAAGAGAAATTTGTATAGCGTATAATATCGTTACCAACACGAGTATAAGAAAAGAGGCCCATCACGTCATAACATTGATCATTAAGATCACATGAACATGTCGTTCTTTCTGCCGGCTTCCAACCAAAATCGATCGGTGTTTTAGTACTAGATGATTCATTTGTAGATAGCATGATATTTAAATATCCTGCAGCGTACATAGTTTTTGTATGCAAACTACTAAGTGAGAGGACACGTTGGAATTCACTTATTGTAGTTTTTTTAAATTGTTCAATTGATATTTTTATTTCTGTCTGAAATTCAGTCTCAGTTAGGACGAAATCAGTAACTAAAGGTGTTTGTTGAAAAATATACCAGGCATTATCAATCGTTATATTGGAAAGCGAACAGAACGTTGCTAAAGTCTCGAAAAATGTTGGACCAAGTACTCGGATATCGTCTAGAGCATCATATGGATCAGTACTCAGTATAGAAACAATCCATTCATTCGATATAAATAAACTTGAACATATGGGATGAAATGTATAAGATAATGACGTGAATAATTCATAAGCATTGACAATACGAGTGCAAGGACACTGAAGCGTATTTTCATATTTATTATGTAAATTTTTGAACACTACTATAGATGGATATTGTACAATGACTGTATTAACACGAGTTGAAAATAATAGATATATACTGATAATACCTAAACTAAACAGCATGATAACTATATATGCGCGAGTTGTAATTCTTGTAGTCTCTAGTTCATAAGAGTTAGTACGTCCAATCGAAGTTTTAAATAAATTAAACTCTATTATACGAACTTTTATTTTTTGTAATTCAATGATTAGACGTTGTCCCACAGTATTATCTGAAAAAAATCTTAGGATTCTACTAATCTCATTAAGCTTAAAGAACTTACGTAGATCAGATTTAATTGCATCTTTATTGTTGCGATTTCGCCAGAAACTAACAACATTTGAAGCGCAGACGCGAAGCACAATTATAAGTCCTCCATAAACGCCTAATAATATCATTATTATTTTTATCAAACCGTTTCGTGTTGTAATTTTGTATGTACATAGAATAGGAGCACATGCGGAATAATAGGCTGAAAATGATATTTCGGATGACCATTGTTCAAGAAATAGATTATTAGCCAGTGTTTCAATAGTAGTTTCGACTGCATAGTGTGTTTGATTCATTTGAAGAATATCATGATGAGTTATATTACTCGATGGAAAAAATGTTAGAACAGTAGTAAAACAAGATGAATCGAAAAAACATTGAAGTGATGATGCAAGAAGTGCATCGAGAGCATAACATGCAACGAAAAATCCGGTTACATTTGCTAGAGGAGAAACCATTACTGTAAACTGTGCCTGGGTTTGTTCGGCAAACAGATCGTAAAAAGCAGATGGTGAATAACAATTTGATGTAAAACCACAGTAGCATACTTCATCGGTTGTAATATTCCATAAAGTTTCGTACGGAATTGGAGTAATCGATACATTTGGTATAACAAATAGTAAATGCATCATTGATGTTTGCATTGCTGGTAGTAAAACATTCATATGAGTTATACCACGAACCAAATTAAGAAGACGACTGTACGTATAACTTGTTGATGTTTTCAAAAATTGACTTTTTGTTTCGCTTTGATCTTTTAGTGAAGATATGGAAAGAATCTGTGGACTCAAAAGAGTATCTGAGAGAAAGTCATCGATTGCATTTTCTATGGTTCTATTAGCAAATAAACAGAGTGAAGTAAGAAGTTGAAATTGTCCACTCGCAGATGAACGAAAATCTAAGGGATGGAAATATGCTATATCAGGATTAAATAGAATATTTATCCAAGTACTGGAGACAAACACACTTGAACATACGGGATGAAGTTTGTATGATATAGTGGTAAATGTTTTGTACAGCGTTTCGACTTGATTGCATGGACATTGAAGTGTTGATGAATATTTCAAGTAGAGTTTCTGAAAAACATTTTCGGATGGACTTTGAACAGTAACAGTTTGTGTTGTTTGTTCTAATGCAGTAGTTAAGATAAGAATT